CACTTTCTACATCAACAGAAATGACAACCTAGGCTCACCCCTGAGGTCAAAAGTAAGTGGCTCTAAACTTTAATATTTGCTGCTCCTGAGAGAAGACTACACACAATATGCTTTAAATACGGTTCCATTTCTAGGTGACGTAAAGAGCGTCCTCAACGTAAGTGACAGGCAACCTTGACCTACAATCATTCTCCTATTTATCAGCTCTACTCTGATTTAGAGTGAGTCTAGCAAGTGTCTGGAGAACAGTACAAAAAGACAAGGTATGACCAGATAAAGCAGCTTTGCACTCGTGAATGAAAAATCCACACCGGCTGTTATAAAACCTGAACAAACAAGAAAATCATGGAAACAGGTGAAACGTTCCTCAGCCCGACCCCAGAGTAAGCAGCTCTGCAGAGCGTGGGGAGGGTGGGCCTCACCTTTCGGGGAGCTGTCGCTCAGGACTAGGTCTTCGTGGCCCTGCTCCACGATGCGGATGACGAACACCGGACGCCCGTCCTTCTCCTCGATGGAGCACAGGTAGCGGCAGCGGCGGTTGGCATAGCGCGTGCTCCAGTACAGCCGGCTGGCCTCGTAGCCCACGGGGAAGAGCGCTTTGGGGGAATGGAATGCCTGCATCTGCTGCGGGAGCAGCTGGCCAATGGCGTGGAAGATGAGACTGCCCACGCGGAAGGTGTGGTCACGCTCCCCGCGCTGCACGATACTGGCGATCTGCCGGACCTCGTCGCGCTGGACGTAGACCCTCCTGAAGACGGCGAAGTAACTCAGTTCCTGCTCGTGAATTCCCTTTGGTTTGTGCATGGGACAAAGCATGGTTTTGTCTTTAAAAAACATGCATTGTGCTTTAATGGCGCAAGTGAAGTGATAAATGTTGGTACAGCGAAATCGGTGGCATCCGCTGGTGGCACCCGTCTTATGACAGAAGACGCATTTCATCTGCAGGCCTCTCCTCAGGGCCAGCTCCACGTTTATTAAGGCCCCGGCCTGGGTCTCGTAGACCTCCGTGGACCACAGGGCGCAGTTCAAGTGCACCCACAGGTCCAAGTCCAGGTTGAGCAGCCTGGCTGGTCCATCCGTCAGGCCATCACCCTCCTCGTGACAGAAGCAACACTTCCGATAGTCTTTGGGCACAGGGTCGGGTTTCAGAGACGTGCCCAGTTTCTTCAGAAATTCATCGATTTCATCCTCACAGGGGGGCTTGAACGCCCCCTTGGGGACCACGATGTGGATGCTCCACCGCTTCCACTTCATCCCCCTCCACTTCTTTGCGACGGGCCTGCAGTCGTCGAACCCGCCGTGCACAGCCCTGAGCCGAGGCTTTAACTTCACTGTTACCTTAAGCTCATCTGGCTTTGCCTCTACTTTGGCTGCTTCAAAAGCAGGAGGGAAAGTGATGGGAGGTGACGCAGGGGGCGAAGCTCGATCTTGGAGCCGCGGGAGACAATGCACGTCTAAGGTGGAGGTGTTGTTACTGTACTGATGAAACGCTTTGGAAGGCGTCTCTTTCACAGGTGACTGTGGCAACGAAGGAATGGATTCCTGCACAATAAAAAGAAATGTGAGAAAGAGTAATTCAAAAGCCCTAAAAGCCATTCTTGTTAAAGCAAGAAAGCCAGGGAATAGGGGTCTAACGGGGCGCGGTGAGGATCTGTGCACAGTGGAGGTCAGTACTGAATGTCCACAGGTTCCCGCATGGACAGGCAGGACTGATGAAAGATCTGTGGGTGGATCCTCCTCTGCAAAGCCACAGCTCTGGAGAATATTGTGCTCTTAAACTTTCATGGACGCTCCTCTTTCTAATAATAATCAAGCTGAAAAAATCAAAGCTGTCAGAGGAGCTAATTTAATTCATACAAGGGAACAGTGTTTCTTGTTAAACCAAATAAGAACTTTGGGTCATAATCTTCTAAGAGCTCATCCCACTCTCTGAAATTCCTGTTTGTTAATCTCAGGCTTAATAAATTGGCATGAATGTGACACAGGGGAGAAGCCCCCGGCAGACGAGTCATGTTCAACTTTTCTCAGAGGCTGCCGGCTCCCACCCAGCAGTGGGCATAGGGGCTGAGAGAGAATCTCCCTCAGTTTCCGTTTAGGTACCAAGTGTCACAAGCGAATGAACGGCAAACCCACAGGCTCCCTTCCCACCACCCCCTCTCCCACGGCTCTGGACAGACCCCCTCCCATAAATCCAGAAGCAGGCGGGCACCACACACCTAAATTATCTGGGGAAAAAGCAACCCTCCTCTCATATAGGCTGATTTATTTTAATTTAAAGTCTTAACTTATTTGGTATATACCCTGAATTTTACTATACTGGGCACTACTGCCTGCTAAAAAAAATAAGTCTTCAGAACATTCTTCTAAGAAAAAGTAATCACCTGAAGGAAGGAATGACTGAGAATTACACCATGGGAAACAACTTCCTTCAATGAGAAGGATTAAAAATGTGTCGTCCTTACCAACTACACACTTGGTTACACTTAAATTCCACAAAATCAGGTAGACCTTTCTACCACGGTAGGACAAGGATTTTCTTCCCAAAATACATGAACAGACTTGAGCTATGTTTGTGAGTAGGCTTTTTCCATTGGGATAAAATCAAAAAACAATGTTTTATAGTTGTCATTAAGCTATTTGTAGTTAATAAGTAAAATTACAGACTTTACTATTAGTGTTTTTATTCAATTCTGAAATTTTAAGATAAAATTCAATCTGCCCACGCCTGTCAAATAAACGGAACATATTCAATCCGCAGTGACAACCTGGACCGAGCACTTTCTCAGCCTGAGCAGCGGCTGCTTAGAATCCCTGGAGAGCTCTGAGAATCTGGTGGGCACACCCATTTTATTCACCAACAGACTGATTAACCGAGACTGCCTAATTTTACCTTGCTTTCTGAGTTTTTTGCTTGTGCAGTTGACGAATAGAGAATAAAGCAGTTATTACTACAGAAGACAATATCCTTCTCCACTCGACTGGAGCTTTCTCGGGAATCCTGAGAAGCAGAGAGAAATACGTGGGGAGCTCAGTAAGTCAAAACTTAATAAAAACAAGATCTATACATATGTGGTCTTTATGTTATGTTAAAAGTGAAAGTAGCTATCTTAAAAGTAGAAAGGTAACCACAAGCCAATATGTAGCCGATAATAATTTAGCCACAGAGAAAACACATTTACAAAACCACACGATCCATATTTCACACTATCTAAAAACATGTGGTTCTCATAACGTCCCGTCTAACAGTCTGCTGTAGCGATCTGATTTCACGCTCAAGCACATCATATGTACACATGCTGATGCTACCGCCAGAGCAGGCGACAGGCGGGGCTACGTATACGGCCTCCCCCTGAAGGAGGAGCCCTACAGGGACACCGCGGGTTGGGGGAGGGGGGGACAGAGAAGATGTAGCGGGTACCTTGTTCACGAAGGCCAGGTCTCTGACCGACTTCCGCACCCCGCTTCCCAGAATGACCACTTTGCAGTGACAGCACCACTGCGGTCTGAGAGCCGCGCTCTCCGTGATACCACGACTGGAATCCTTATATCCAGAAAGACCTGCAGACGAAAGACTTCGTTAGCGACTAAAACTGACCAATAACAAGGAGGTAGCACACGGCACAAAGCTATACTGTATCAACTTATCGTAACACGGTTCCTTCACGTTATCATGTGTTATCTTTTACCAATTAATAAGAATCTGATCTTCTAAGCAGTGGTTATGGGGCATCTATTATGTGCACGACACTGGGGTACAAATCAAGGAACCTATTCTCGCACAGCTGGGGCAGCCTGCTGGGACGTGGGGAGCGTGGAAGGAAACCGCTGAGTTCTGTCCAGTCTAAGCGCAAAGTGAGCTGGGGGAGAGGACACTTCCGCTTGAGGGTGAAGACGAGATGGAAATGTCCTGTGAAAGGTGAAGAGGTCCGCGTACAAGAGTCTTAAACGGGTGTGATCTGGAAAGTCAAAGGGGGATGAGGAAAGTCCCGGGGCTGAGATAAAAAATGTAAGTAAGGACTCAGATGAGAAAGCACGAGGGACCCTCAGAGCCCACCGTCTGTGGGGGCCGCGGAGGCACAAAGGGAGAAGCAGGAAAAGTGAGGGAGACAGAAGCGGCCAGAGGCTAGGGATTCGAGCTCCGACACAAGCCCTCGCAGTGCGGGAAGTGGGGAGAGGAGAGACGGGGGTGAGGGTGAGCCCAGACCCCACTGCCCCAGGCGCGGGTGGAGGAGGAAAGAGGAAGCAGCGGTGCCGGTAAAGCCGCTGGCCCGCTGCGCACGCGCGAAGCAGGAGGTGAGCCGGGACGAGCGGCGGAGGCAAGAGGACAAGGCGGCCTGCGGGTGAGCACGTCAGACGGGACACGGTACAGTCCCCAAGCACTGAGGCTAAGTCACCGCACAGCAGAGCTTATTAGAAGGTCAATTCACCAGGATGACGCACCAACATGCTACCTGTTACTTGTTTACAATTAAAGTGGGATTTTAAAGAGAATCAGCCGAACTTCTGATTCACGAACGAATGTGAGGTTCACTAACGTAAACCCGCTCACCGTTGCTCGCTGGAGGGAACGGCACGTTAGGCTGCTTCAGGTGGTAGGAGCTTGCTAATCTGGGCGGGTTTGCAGGTCCTGGTGGAGGCCCACGAAGAAATAAACGCTGTCGATACTCCAAACCTGGGTTTACTCTGTGGCTACTGACCAAACCCACGGCTGGAACATCTGGTGCATTACTAACCTCGTAGCTGTTAGGGACTCGCACGTGAAGGAGGTCGGAAAAGGCAGCCACAACACTGCTGATGTTCTAAAACAAAGTGCAAACGCTGCGTGACCCACCCAGAAGGCACAGAGAAGCACTGAAGAAAAACTCCTATTAGGTACGTGTTATTCGCTGATGTACAGGCGGTAAGCAAATCCAACAATGCCGATTTAGACTTAAGGGTCTCAAGGGAAAAAAAAGGTTTTAATGGGCCAATATCTAAATAAAGCTTTCATAAACAGAAATCCTCATAAAGGGATTTCAATGAATGTTAAATACTTGAGAGAGCATTAAACTATTTTAGGCGTCATTAATACAAGGAATGAGCTAAACCTTGTCAGTTTTTACAGCTGGTTGGAAGCTACCGGCAAGTGGACCTACAGCTCTGGGAAGAGGTCTGAAATGGTCCACGAGAACCCACTACCGCTAAGTTCTGTTGCCAAAATGTCCCATCATGGGACTATGAGTTTGGTCTCATACAAGCAGCTGCCACCTGAACAAGACTTCCACTGCTTCTGGAAAGCTTCCACTGTTGACAAAGTTCTTCACTGCCTGATTTTCTAAGTGTGAAAGTTATCAAAAGGCTTCTCTCTAAAGAGCTCTCCACTGTGTACCTCCTCTAATAAACAAGCGAGACCTCTACCTTCGTTCTGCCCCTTTTGCCTTGACTTAGGCTGAGATCGATTTAACACTCATTTCTAACACCCAGACCACGTGGAAGCCTGAAGTGACCACGCGTACTCTCCCTAACTTTACTCTTCTATCCGCAGTGACCCTGCTGCACACGAGTCATGTGCAGACACGTGTGAGCCTCCTGACACAGCTTTAAAAACCAAGCGGAGTCTACGACGTTAAAGAACCCTCTCATCTTTACCTCAGCAGCTGTAGGATGCAGAGTGATTGCCACAGAGATCAGGCCCGACCTGGGACCGTTTGGGGATGAACCGAAAGGTGACGTGAAAAATAAAGTGCCTGGCTCAGTTTTTATGTCATTCCTTCTGGAGTCCAAACCTTGAAAGAGGAAGGATTGATTGTTAGTGGCTTTTCAAAACACCAACGAGAGCACGTGGGCCCGCGGTACGGAGGACTAGTGCCCACCTTTCCCGGCACTGCTGGGGAGGATGGGGATGACGGGGGACGGCACTGGCTCTGGAGGCTCCTCTTTGACCAGCGACAAGTCTGGGTACCTGCTCACTTCCATCCCAACCACACTCTCGGGAGAGGACGAGGGCACAAAACTGTCTGGAGTATCGCGATCAGCGGCATGCTCCTGTAACCTGGGAGGAGAACAGACGCAGGACATGAGCTGGAGCCAACCTGCCCCAGCCTGGCTCCGTGTGTGACCTTCCGACAACAACATGAGAACCCATGATTCGGGGCAGGGCCAACCAGGAAATCTCTCTGGGGTGAAAAAACAAAAAGGAAGTATGTTTAAAGTAATTTAAATGATATGTTTCCTGCTGACTAAAGCTTTAGCATCCAAGTTGAAAGACTTGCCAAAGATGTTCAGATTACAGCAGGGCACAGAGAAAGTGAATACTCACACTTCTGCAGACAGCAGATCCCTGAGACTAGGGAACATCCTGGGGCTGAAAAAGGGCCGAGCAGCACCCCCCGCCCCCAGCCTCATGCACAGGGCTCTCCCAGGGCTGCTCGTACTCACGGGGGCGGAATGGGTAACACCTGGTCATTGTGACTTCAAAGGCCTTTATTTTTCTTAACTGATAAAGTGAGGTGATAAAAAGAAGCGACTGGTCTAGTCCAAGAAGCTAAAGGTGACCAAGGCAACTGGGGATGGAGGGCAAGTGTGGCATCAGGCTGGACGCTGAAGGGCAACCTGGTGTCTCACTAGGCCTCCCCCAGCAGGGACGCAGGCATGTGGAAGGAAGCTGGGAAGCAGCATTATTAGAAGACCCTAGAAAGGCTCCCAGAGAGCCCCTGTGAGACCCGGAGTGGGCATCAAGCTCGTACACGTAGGAGGCTGCTTCCCACAGCTGCCACCCAGTCACAGATTCGGCACAAATCTAGCAGTGAGTTTCAGGGGAACAAAAGACCTGGATTCTAACTCTGGACAAGTCACTTCTCTTTGATACACAGTTCTGTCAATAAAGTATGGGGTTTAATCTAAATGACCTGTCATCACATAGAGGGTTTTCATCACCAGATTTTCCAAGGGGGAAAGAGTAATCTGATGAAGTGCCTAAGAACCTCTCCTGGGTTTCACTCACTGGGTCATGATTATCTACTAAAGGAAGTGGATTCCCCCAGTCAGAACCTTGGGGCTAAAGAGCCGATACAAAGAAGTCACAAAACTCTGGACAGGAGTGTCCTTGAATTCCTTCCCATGAGAGCATTCTCTGATACCTGTGACCGCTGCTCTTCTATTCTGACATCTGCAAACATCAATAAACCCAATAAAATCACATTAACAGGTTATAAAGGACACGAGTCTTTGAAACATTTTGCATGGAGTCCCACTGCCTTCATGTCTATTCCATTATTATTTGTTGAACTTCCTATATCATGTAAGATTTTTAAAATGCACAAATAATATTTAATAGTATTTTTTATAAACTTTAAGTTCTGATGAAAACTATTCACCAGATTTTACCTTTTAAGTCTTTTAAGTGTTTTTAACATGCTACTTCTAGAGACATTGTCCTATATACATACACATACAATTTTTTTAATAAATGAAGTAACTAAAAACATCAGAGAAGAAGGCACTTGTACCTTAACTCTTCCTGGTTATTATGCGGTGGTGTTGGGAGGGAGGCGGGAACATCCACTGTCTTGGGGCCCTGAGCAATAGCTCTGGCTAACAAGTCGTCTTGCGGTCTGAAAGGCAGCTGAAATGGTTTAGGTCCTAGACTTCTGGTAACTGGAAAAGCAAAAACACAGAAGCAAATATACTTAGTCAAGATGGACAAGTGGGTACAACTGTACAACCTGACTGCCATTTCACCTGCACGGCCGCCAAGGGCGTGCCCCTCCAAGGTAGAAATGTGGGCTGGGCGTCATACCTTCATGGCTCACCAGTACGCCAGCTTTCCCAGCAAGCTCTTCAGTTGTTGCAAAGCCGTTCGCCATCTTCTGACAGGCCAGAGGAGGTGGTGTAGGAGGAAGAGAGGCAGGGGGTGTTGGAGGATTACTTAAATTATTCTGCTGCAGGAGACCAAAAGATTTTACATTATATGCTACTGAGCAAATATGCCAGGACCTTGCTAAAACTTAGTTCTGTGAATTTTTAGCACAGGGAGGCAACACTACAGAAACGTAACCAGATGTGTCTTCATTTCTCAAAGGCACACCAAGAAAAGTAGTAAACACGCAGGCCAGGAGGCCTTTGGTGGAACAAGTGTGCATGGCTTTGTGGACGTGTCATCCACTTGCTCGCTTCACCCAGCCTGAGTGCTCATCTTTGGCATTAGAAGTAAATTTACATTGTGCCAGTGAAGGATAGCTTTAAAATTCAACCAATAAATTGCGAAAAGTTCTCAAAACCTCCTTTATCAACTTCTCATTAAGATATGCCCTCATTCTGTAAAAAAACTTAAGAATTTAAGGTCCTAACCCAGTAATTGCAACTCACGTCCTAGATATTAGAATCCAGACTGTCCAAAATCTCAAAAAGCAGCAAAAGGAGTAGCAATTATACAAAGTTGAGTGAATCATTGACAAGTGTCGTTTCCCCCCAAACATCTGTCCCTGCTTAACATTTGTGGTCCATTTGTTATTTATTGACTGACGAGTCTCTCAGGAATTGTTGGACTCTACCTATAATACCGTGCTGATCAAGTGCAAGGTCAAATTACAAATCTTGCAAAGATCTAGGATTTCATGAAGATGATGAAGTTGTGTGGAGAACAGCTTGCATCAGAAGAGAAGGCATTTACAAGAGTAAGGAGAGGTTCTAACTGAAGAGAAAAGCCAATAATGACAATAAATGGAGCATCACAAGAGAATGACTTTAATATTAAAAAAGAGAAGCCCTCAGGAAAACTGACGATACTAACAAATATTTTTGCAAAAAGACCACTTTACACAAGTCAGATGTGAAGTAAAGAGTGCCTAGTGAGCCTAGCATAAAACTTTGTTTAAAAAACAATACCGGAAGATAAACTAGGTTTAGCTGGGTTTTTTTTTAGCAGTCTAAGAATTAATAATTATGTTATACTGCAGCTAGTTGCAATTAGTACCTAAATTATTAGGTAAAATATGGTTTTAATTTTTCTTTTGATTTTTCAGGATAAATTCCTACCATATTTTTTTGTTTACTTTGAATTTCAATTCATTTAAAAAGTTAATAAAGATTACAGGAAAATAACTATTTTCCCTACCACAGAAATACATAATGGATGTTTGTCACAATCTGTACTCTTACCTAGACAAAAATTTCAAATGTTCACACCAGAAACACTTTACCTGGTAAAATCTTAACCTTTTAGTCGAGCTAAAGTTTAAATGGAACTTGGAAGATCAGATGCAAACCAGATGGAAAAGCAAGACAGGCTCTACCAATTCTGACACGGCATCCAAAGAGCAAGCAAGGGGGCACCTCGCAAAGAGACATACCTTGTAGATCAACTGAGAATAGTAATCCGAAACCCCGTCAAGGGTCGCACTGCCAAAAGCTCCTAGAAGTCGATTCCCACTATTAAACGGGCCACTGCCGTAAGGAAGAAAGTGGGCAAAGTTCACTCCAATGACTGGTTCCATTAGAGGGAGCAGAGAGAGCTGCTATTGAAAAACACATTTAAGAGTAATGCACACGATAAACAAAACAAGAGTTTCTCAACTTTCTAAGACCCGGAGCAACTTAGTCAAACAAGCTTGAGGAAAATAAGACTCAAAACTTTCAAGCATCCAAGTGCAGGAATAAGGGAGAGAGACTCCAGAATTCTTGAGACATACTTAAAAATGAGCCTTATTCTCGTCTGTCTTAAAAGGGATGCTGCCAGGCATCTACCAAGAGTAACAGCTTCCTTATCCTCACTCAGCAAGAAGCAGGGCTGGACTGAGGCTGGGTGCCCCCCGTGGCACTCTCAGCGCTGTCTCCCACCTTCCGTATCAACTACAAGGGTACGAACGGAGTCTGCTACGGGGAGAGACCGGCGGCTGCGTCCAGTCGCCAGTAACGCGGACAGAATCTGCCTTGGTGCTGAGGCTGCTCCCTCTGAACGTCAGTAAATCTCGACCATCACCAACCGCTCCATCTATTTTACTGTAATTTTGGGGGTGCCAATAGGACAAATCTGGCAGGTAGGAAATCGACTAGGTTCCTTGTTGCGATATATTTATCCCTGTAACTCTCTACTTTAGGAAATGATCGCAACAAAGAGAAAGTTTCGGTTTAACAGGGTTAAAAAAGCACTTGATGTCTCATTTCCTTGAATTTTTAAAGGGGCTGCTCCGCAGGACTCACCTGTTTCAGGTGGGTAAAGGTGTCGGCGGTAGAGTACAAAGCTTGTTTTTCCTCCTCTTCCTTTTTCCTTTTCTTTGAGCGAGGTGCTGTCTTCTCCCCAGTCCTCTGAGTTCGTTTGCTTCGCTGTTTCTTGGTTTCACTTCCTCCATCTGTTTTTGGCAACTGGTTGTTGCCACATCCAAAACCACCTTGCATTTGAGCCCCCAAAGTTTGCTAATGTAATTGGAAAGGTTAAGAAATAAGTGAACTATTCACGTTTGATTTTCAGTTCACGCTAATTCAGTTCCATCCTAAGCCAAGTATCCCTAACATGGGTACCAAAAGTTAAGGAGGAAAGATGGTGGCATCAAATAGTCTAAGTGTTTTCTGAAAACAGCACCCCCTTTTCCAAACATGATTCTCAAGTATGGAAACCAGCAAGCTGCAGAGCTTCAGGAAAGAGCAGAACTCGTTAAGTGTGGCTGTTTTCCCTTCAGAGGGAGCATTACTCCTCCGGGCTGCCCACACCACTGGTGCCAAAGACTGGAGTTCCCCATCCTGCTCACTGGAGGCTCTTAGCCACCACGGCCTCTGCACTGTGGTCTTTAGCGTGCTATCTGGGTTCCCCTTAGGAACGGGTAAAATACAAGGCGTGAGGAAACCACTGACAGGCTCCAGAAAAGCCTCGCAGCCTGCACATCTCAGCTGCGAGGGGCTGCCGGGCTCAGAGATCAGTAAAAACAAGCAGCGCTAGTCATTCAGCTTAGTTCACGACCACACAGGACTGAGTAATCACCACACACTTGCAGTCAATGAAAGAGGACCTACATGATAGCAAATAAACCTTTACTTTTGTATTTACGGCTAAGAATAAACCAATCCTTAAAGAGGTTTTTAAGGGC